GACCCCGATCCCCGACCCCCGGCTCTCACCGTGCGGAGGTCGCGCTGCCTCCTCGGCCGCCGCCCGGCTGCGGGTCGCCCAGCGACCTGCAGGCCCGAGGATGGAAGAGAGGCGAGGGGCAGTCCCGTCACATCCCCGTCCGCCCAGCCGCCGGCCCCGCAGCAGCCAGCATCGCCTCCACGGCCTGAGGGAGCGCCGGACTTCACGGACGCCGCGCCCCCTCCCTTGGCCGGCGCCCGCCTGGACTCCGCCCTCCAGGGCCCGCGCACTACGCGTGCGTAGACCCGCCCCCCGGGAAGTCCGTGCGCAGGCGCGAGCCTCAGTGGGCTAGGCCCCGCCTCCGGGCCCGCCCCACTCTCTTGCCAGCCGTTCCCAGGCTCCGCCCCGTTCCACTGACCTTGCTCCTTTGGCCCCTGACTCAGGTCTTTCCTGAGGTTGTTAACCTTTCACTTGGGTTTCATGGCTGACCACCTCGAGGTGGCCTGCTAGATTCAGATTTGCTGCTTGACCACCTCCCTCTCCAGACTGATAGAAGTGATCTGAACACGGGAGCAAGCATGACCTCCCACCCTCCCCTGTCTACATTTTGTTTTGGCCTCTGCCAAGCATACTGAATCTGGCTGAGATTGAGATAAGACACTGAGAGCTGAGAACTCAAGCTATCCTATGATGCTGTGGATCTAAATTCCATTTGCCAGGACCAGTTCCCCACTTCCTTCGGGGCTTCTGTCTTCCATAAGCCATCTCTCCCTCAGTCGTAGATGGTTGGACCAGTCCATGAGAGTCACTGTGCAAGCCTGTGGTAGCTGGCTGTCTATTAAAATCATTGAAAGTGCTCTTTATCTGGCCCTAGACTGCCTGTTCTGCTTGCGAGCCCCAACAGCTCAACAGAAATTAATAACACTGCAAGAGAACTTGAAAAATCACTTCTCCAGACCACTAAGGTAACTACCCTGTTAAGCGAGGAGGAGACACTTGTGTCCCTCCCTTTGACCACCAGACTGTTGAAACATTATACTCCAAAGAATTAAAAACTTTTGAGGCATCCCATCCTGGGGAAATGGAAACAACCCTGAAGGCCTAGTGCCATCCCGAGGAGGGACTTGCCTCCCAGGATTTCACGCAGTTCTGACAAATTCTCAGACCATTTTGCAGAATAGATTTGAGTGAGCTGAGACATTGATAGTGAGATGCGCAAGAAAACCTTAACTAGGAAGTGCTGATCAATTTACGTTTATCCCTTGCTCTCATTTGAACTTAAACCTCTTGTCAGTACTCCTGAAGGTAGACTTGGCGATCACTGGACCCCTTTGCTTCCTCCTCTTCCCTAAGTGGCAGTATTGAATAAGTCTCCTTTTTATGTGTTTCATTATTACTTGTCTCTTTAATTGGTCAATTGAAAAGTGGTAGGGAGATGTAACTATGTGGATGGTAACGGCCTGATTTAAAATGCTGGAAAAGACTAGGTCTACATGCGGTACATTTCTTTTAAGATGAAGGAAATCATTAGGTAAGGAAACACCTGACCCAGAGCCCTGAAATACTCCCACTGAAGCACATCATTCCCGAGATGAGGTTACTAAATGTGCTTTCGAGTTTGTGCTACAATCTAAATTGAGAGATGGGACAGAAGTGGCTCTCCACAGCCTGTCCCTGGGAGCTGAGCAAAACACTCCATTTTCAACAGTCTCCATAAAGAATCTGGGAAAGGTAGGGTTATCCTCAGTTCCCCCCATCAGGAAGAGCTTTGCTGCTCTGGACAACCTAGCTGTGGTCTTGTGACTCCCTGAATATTTGAGGTAACTGTGTGTTTTCTCTGGCAGTTTGAAGTGCTAAGTTACTACTTCCCTTTCTTCTACAGAAGCAGGAGCCTTCCTGGATGCATGATGCATATGAATTTTTCCAGGCTTCATCTAATTTTCTGCATTCCTGTTTTGTCTTTGTCCCAATTTTCTCACTTCGTGGATTGTCACATCGCTTCTATTTCTATTAGGCACTTGTTTCAATTTATTCACACAGGATTTTAATTTGCGAGATGGCTGTGATGACACAGAGAGGTCAATGTGTTGAAAGAAGATTTTTATTGCTTACATTTCATGAAAGATGGAATGCTTATGTCATGCAGAGGCATATGCAGAAGTATCGGGTTTGGTTGGGAGTGGAGGGAAAATCCAGACAAAAGCTTTTATTGGGATTTATGTGGGAAATGAACAGAGAGAAGTAGGGATATCTTGGGAATGGCGATTGTGGATAATGTCAAAGAAATTTAAACCACAGACACCTCTCCAGTTGTTTGATAACTGACCATGGGTTATTTAGATCAGGGAGAATACAAGCTTGGTTTGTGAAAGTTAAACAAAGAGGTGATTGTAGTTGTATACTTATGTTGGCTGGAGGCTGTCATAGGATTTTTTTACATGCTCATGAAAGCTGGGTTACAAGAGAAGTGTAAACAATGTTCACCATTTGTTAGGATGCCAAATAGAAAAATCTAAGAAAACATAGTTAAACACCATTTTAGAGTTATGTATAGAAAAAGACTAAAAAGGCTGACACCTGAGGAGCTAAAGGCTATATATAGTTGAGGTCAAGGGTAAGAAGGCAGACCAAGATGGGCATTTGGTTCACACGTTTTAACATGCCTCAGAATCCAAATAACAAAGATTGCTGGCCACCAGCCCTAGAATCTCAAATTCAGCATGCCTGGGGTGGGGCACAGGAATTTGCATTTTTGTCAGATTCTCAGAGTGCTGCTCTAGGGATCAAACATGGAGAACCACATGACTTGAATATCTCTGCAACAACCTGCCATGCTGGTGGAGATAACTCTCCAACCCTTGAAGGGTTGATAAGACACAAAGGTCTAAGGGTCTACGTGTCACATGTCATGTGGAAAACTATTACAACTGTGTCAACCTTTGACCAGTAAGGAACAGCTGAGAGAGCCAGGGTATGACTCAAGTCCGTGAGCTGGGAAGAAGGACTGGTGGTGAAAAATCAGAGGTAGATGGTGCAAACTGCAATGATAGGACTGCGCATGCTTTGATCACCCTCCCTTGTGCGTTTTTCAGTATACTGAGTCCTGTCAGAGCAGAGATGGAGAACCAGGTGATTTTGCAGGGTTGTAGCATGGAGCTGCTGGTTAACAACTGGAATGAACAATGATGGGTGGGCAAACTCAGTAGGTAAAGTAATTTACCACCAAGCCAGGCAACCTGAGTTTCATCCCAGAAATCACATAGTAAAAGGAGAGAAATGACACCTTTAAGTTATTTTCTGGCTTCCATGAACATGTGCCATGGCACATGTGTGCCTACACACATAATAAATAAATGTTAAAAAATATTTAAACAAAAACTATAGCTTTCAAATAGCAAGATAAGCCAGAATATGTGCATTAAGTGTGGTAGGGGCAAATGGGGGTGAGGGGGAATAGAGAAGAATAAATTGTAGAGATCAGTGTGGTGTTGAGTCTAGAGAAGAGTTGATGAACATATCATGCAATTTCACTATAAATTTTTCTGTCAGAACAGAAGAAGAACAGAAGATACCTATATGTTATATACTAGAGGAATGCATCTCCTCAAAATAAATACACTGAAGTTCTTCCCCCATGAGCCTCTTTAGAGTACGGGTCTTCAGAAATTATGAATGAATAAGATCATGAGACCCTCATGGAGCCATCAGTGTCCCCCTATAAAGGAAGAATTAGGCTGGTGAGACAGCTCAGCCTGGAAAGGCATTCACTGCCCAGCCTGACAACCTGATGACCTGAGTTCAATCTCTGAAAGCCACATGATAGAATAAGAGAACTGACTTCTACAAGTTGTCCTCTGCTCTCAACATGCACACTGCGACATGAAAATGCATAGTAAACACACACACACACACACACACACACACACACACACACACACAAATAAATAAATAAATAAATGTTTAAAAAATTAATAAGGGGAGGCACAGGCTCTTTATTTCTGCTCTCCACCAAGTAAAGATCCATTAAGAAGATAGCTAACTCCCAGTGTGGTGGCGCATGCCTTTAATCCCAGCCCTGGAGAGGTGGAGGCAGGTAGAGCAATGTGAGTTTGAAGCCAGCCTGATCTATATAGCAAGTTCCAGGACATCCAGGGCTACCTAGAGAGACCCTGTCTCAAAAGCAAAAAGCAGATAATTATCAATAAGCAGATAAATATCAAAAAGGAGATAATTATCTGCACCAATGTACATCTTCACCAGATAGCAGGGTGACTCTGCTCCTTGCACACCTGGCCTTTTATGTGTTAATTTGATAAAACTTTATAAATTTTACAAATAAAAACAAACCTTTACTAATTAGTGGTCAGGTAAGTTTTCCTTCCAAACCTCCAGTGGTCCCTAGGTATGATCACTGCTTAAGACATATAAACACATTCTCTGCAAATGTCATTGGCTGATGCCTCCAACTTCGTGTCATACCATGATAGGAAACAAGTTGAGATCCCTGTTTTGATCATTATGTCTGCAGAGAAGTTACTAAGATGTTGATTTGGTAGGTGTCATGTGCATACTTCTTGTTCCTTTGCTTTTGTGGAGGCAAATTATTTAATTATTTCTTCTGCAGAAATGTGTAAAGACTTTGTCTCTACTGGTAGTTGGTCTTTTCTTTGGACAGCTAGCCAGTTCCCAAATAAAAACATGGAGACTTATTATTAATTATGAATGCTTGGCCTTGCCATGTCCCAGTTTTTTGTTTTGTTTTGTTTTGTTTTTGTTTTTTAACTTACTTTAACCTGTTTCTATTCATCTATGTTTTGCCTCGGGGCTTTTTTTACCTTTCATTCTGTCTGTCCTACTTCCTGCTTCCTCTGTGTCTGGCTCACCCCTGGTGTCTCCCTGCTGTCTCTTTTTCTTTCCTCCTTTCCCTAAATTCCTCTTCCTACTTACTCTCCCTGCCTGGAAGTCCTGCCTGCACCTACTCCCTCACTATTGGCCATTGAGTTTTTTATTAAACCAAGCAGATGCCTTGTAAAACAGCAACACATCTTTCCATAGTTAAACAAATGCAACACATCTTTGCATAGTTAAATAAATATTCTGCAACACTACCGTTGGGTCAATTTTAATAAGTCATATTGGCCTTAAAATATCTATTTCTGTCACATTTATTTACATAGAATTATTCAAACTATTTTTTGTTCTTTTTTTTCTATTTTTATGCTGCCATATCTATTTTGGCATATTTGTTTTTTCTTTCTTTTAAAACTTAACTAGCTAATAGTTTGTATGTTTTAAATATCGAGCTTTTGGATTTATTTCTACAATTCTATTATTCAAATCATTATTTATAATTTTGTATTTATTAGTTTCTTCTGTTTGGTTTACTTTGTTGTTTTTTTTTATTTTGGATATTAAATTCACTTATAACTACATTTCATTTTTTGTCAGGTGTTTAAGCCACAAACTTTCCTATAATAATTGCTTTAGCATAAAGATTTTGTCTTATTTTCATTACTATCATTTCCAAGAAATTCTGCAATTTTATTTTTTATTTACTCGTTTCCCAAAAAGATGTTTGAATACCTTTTAAATTATAAAGAAAAAAAAGAAGTTTTAGATATTAAAAACCCTGTTATTATTCTGATTTTACTGCATTATAGTCAGACAATGTTTTTGTATATTTTTAATCTTTGAAATTTAGTTTTTATGATCAAGCTTAATAAATTTCTATATTCACTTGAAAAAAAGGCAAATTCACATTTGTAGAGATACAGAATTCAATAATGTTTTGTAGGAGGTTTTCATCTTCCTTCACTAGAGAAGTGCCGAGAACATGGAAGGCGAAGACCCACACAGAGAGAGCTGAGAGGAACAAGAAAACTCTGAAAGAAGACTGCTCCCCTCACTACTATCCCCATGGCACCCCCAAAAACCAAAAAAAAAAACAAAAACATATTAAGAGAAGTAAGAAAGAAAATTGGGTTGCAGAAACAAGAATAAGTGTTTTGTGTTATTTTTTCTTAAAAAAAAAAAGAAGAAGACTCTTAAAAAGCCAAGAGAGCCCCTGGAAATGAAAGACGTGGAAATCCAATTGAAGAAATAAGGGAAAAGTTTGAAGTAATCTGCAAATTAGAACAACAATAAAAGATTGAGAATATCAGGGTGTGTGTGTCGGGGGAAAGGGGTTCTTTGAGAACTTAGTAATAAGCTTCCCACTGGGGGATGGGCAGCTCATGAGAATGGGAACTCACAAAATCAGAATTCCAAGCAGTTCTCCCAAGAGTTTAGGCAGATTGGACAGGCACAGTCTCCTCTCCTGCTGCTCAGTCCACACTAGTGAGCTGCCAGGGATCCCCCTCCCAGATACTCTACCAAAACCCCAATGGCACCATCTTAATATTCAGACCTAGTCTATCCAGGCTACATGACACAGGTGGGACTTCTTAAGGGTAGACAAAGATCCAGGGCCCCATCATCCTGTCTCCTCCTCCCAGACAGTTCTTAACATTCCAGACCTAAACCTGCCTGACACTGGGCTGCAAATAGTCAGTTTGTTTCTCTTCTCTCCAAAGTTTTAAAGTCCTTTCAGGCAAAGCTCCTCAAAAAGGATTTACAGTTATGAACAGAACGGAAGTGTCTTCAAAGCTAAGGAAGGCCTCTCAATGCTTAGAAACACAGAGGCCAACCTCTCCTAGAAGGGAAGAGGAAATGCCTTCACTCCTCCGTATGAGTCACTTACTGTTCCTAAGAAGAGACAGAAGACTACTTGCTAAAACCACACAGACTTCAGTGCGGCTTTGGCTTTTAAGCCTACGATTAAACATGGTATTCCACGTGACTCTGATAGCAGATTCAAAAGACAGATGTGTGCCAACACAGAAACTGGGTTTGGTGGCATATGCCTGTAATCCTAGCTTTCAGGAGACAGGGGCAGGCACGAGGGTCATGAGTTCAAGACCAGACTGGGCTGTATAGCAGGATCCTGTGTTTAAAGAGAGAGAGATTCTTTGTATGAAAACCTAAGTTTGTTGATTTGGGGTGTCTTTTTTGGGGGAAGAGACAACCTTTGGGCTGAGCTTCCAATCCTCTCTGCCACTTGTCATTGATGCTTTTGGAAGCTTTGGGCAAGGTGCTTTATTGCTCTATACCCCAGTTTCATATCTTCAGATAAGGACTAAGTGAAGTTACTCAATGATTTCAATGAGCAAACATATATAAGCCCTTGGAACAATGTCTGGCACAGAGAAAGCGCTAAGTAACTAGATACTATTATAACATGCTCCCATTGATATAAAAGATGTAAGATGTAAAACGGAAGTTTACTTACACTCCTAGTCAGATAGACATGTTAATTTGCCAGGGCTTCCATGAGCAGGCACCTCAGGCAGAATCATTTAAACAGAGATGGATCTTCTTGTGGTTCTGGAGGCTGGAAGTCTGACATTAAGATGTCTGCAAGAGTCTGGCAAGGTGGCTCAGCAGATAAAGGTACTTTTCATACAGGTGTGGTCACCTAGATTCAATCCTTGGTAACCCATGTAAAGGTAGAGGGCAGGATCTCACTCCACGAAATTATCCTCTGACTTTTACATATGTAGTTTTTTAATATGTTGGCAAGGTTGGACTTACTCTGAAGCTCCCCTTCTGAGCTTCTAGAGATACATGGTCTTTCCTTTCTGTCTTGTGTTCTTATCACTTTTTATAAGGGCGTCACTTGTGTGGGCTAGGGCTTGTGCTTCAGACCTCGTTTTAATATTGTTACCTCTCTAAAGCCTCCATCTCCAAACAAAATCACATTCTGAGCGACTAGAGGTTAGAACAGCAACATGATTTCTAGGGTGCAGCTCAGCCCATAATGACAGAGAAATAGAATTTCCCTAGTTTGATATGATCAGTCTGTACTTTCCACCCGAGTCTCTCCTGCTGTCTGTGTTTGTCTCTACTTGCTGTTTTGTTTTAGAAAACATTATGAAAATATCAATCAGTTACTAAATTGTTTACAGGTGGCCTTCTAAGTATTATCTTTAAAGAAGTCTTGAATCATGTTATATTTTGATTAAAAGGCTCGGTGTCCACGGCTGCACTCTCTTCCTGCTTCTGACTGTAGGATGGTGTCTGCCTCTATAGGATGAAGGCTATAGTTTTCTGAGTGTTGTAGAGATGAGGCAGAATTAGTCATCAAGCTCTGTCTTCTTCCTCTTCTGGTAGCTGAATAATAATGTGCCTTGCCTGACCTTCCAGGTGGAAAACTCCATCAGGGTGACAGGAAACACCGATCTATTGGCTTGGCAGCTCTCCCTGGATGCCCCAGCATCACCTCTGTTCTTGGAAACAAAGGAGACTCTTCTGAATCTGCCATCACACTCAGTCTTGCCCTAGGCAGTTGACACATGGATGTGCCAGGTAATAAAGAGGTGATAGATAATCCTGGGGTAACTATTGAGTGAGGACTCCCATAGAGGAGATGCAGATCCCAAGCTAGCACACAGAGGGCATAGTTACAGGAGCTGACATCCCCTTCAACATGAAATGGGGGATGGACTGAGAAGCACCTTCTCAAAGCCAAGGGGTCACTCCGTGTACATTGACAGCAGTGACCCGTGCAAACAATCCATATGGCTTCAAACTGGACAGAGTACAGGGGACCAGTCACCAGAGAGACTCCTCAAAAATTTTGAAAACTAGGTCGGAGGCTACTATAGCTCAGTAGTAGCATGTTTAGCATTCCCATGTCTGGGATTGATACCTGCTACCATATGCATAAGAAGAAAATGGCTACAAACTAAAACTATAAGAACTACCTCCACCTTTGAGCTAAGTCAACAAACTCATGCAAACACTGACTAAGGCTGGTGTTAGGGACAATGGGCCATCTCAACACTGACCCATGAGCCACCTTCCTCACTTCATCCCAGCTGTCTTCAGTGCCAATTCTTCTAAGTCAGTTTGTCTAGAATCCTCCTCACCCTTCATGCTTTTCTTTCCGTAATTTTCAATCCTCTGAGATACACCCTGACACTTGACTATTAATTCTCATTTTTCCTTGTTGCTACCTACAACTGTTTTCATGGTTCAGAAGAAAATCTGTCTTACTAATTTCTTTATCGTGGAGCATATCCTCATCCCGGACTCCTAACCAGCAGCCAGTTCTTTTAATAGAGCCTGGAAAGGGATGTAGATGCAGGCACTGCCCAGGTGGAGAGGGGCACAGAGTCCATCCCTTATACCATGGGCCAAGCAGATGTGAGGCTGAAGTTCTATTAGCATGTAAGTACCCAAGCTGTCAGCTAGATTCCAGCCTCCTAAAAGATCATTTCAAGCTCCCTTGTTCTTCTGCGCAACTCCAAGCCTCAGAGGGTTGAAGTATCAAGCTAAATGATTTACAGGTAAGTTGGAAAGCCAGGTCCCAAGCTGTTCACTGACAACGTTTACATCAACATCTATGAGTTAATGTGATTAGGACTTTTAAAAGCATAATTCAAAAACAGCTAACCAGAATTAAATTCTCCCCTATGGAAAAATAAGATGTGCATATCTAAGGTTGGGATAGGGCATCAGGTTCCCTTGACATCTCTAGCGTCTCCATAGGGTCGCTTTGACAGTGACCCTCCCCTTGGCAAACTCTAAGGCTTTTCTCAGTCAAACCTAACTCTTGGACTTTTGTGCTTGTTTTTGTCTTCTCCAGTGTAAGGAAGAATCTAGCTAGGAACTGACGGAAACAGATGAAGACCCACAGCCAAGCATCAGGCAGAGCCCAGGGAACCCTGCAGAAGAGGGGGAGGAAGGATTGGAGGAGCCAGAGGGGTCAAAGACACCATAAGAAAATCCACAGAACCAACTAACCTGGGCTCATCGGGGCTCACAGAGACTGAAGCGACAACCAGGGAGTCTGCATGGGCTTGGTCTTCTTGTGGGACTCCTAACAGTGGGAACAGGGGCTGTCTATGACTCTTTTACGGGCTTTTGGGACCCTATTCCTAATTCTGGGTCACCTGGTCCAGCCTTAATATGTGGGGTGGTGCTTAGTCTTACTGCAACTTGCCATGTTTTGTTGATACTCATAAGAGATCTGCCCTTTCCTAAACAGAAACAGAGGAGGAGTAGATTGGGGGGTGGGAACAGAGGAGGTGGAGGGAGGGACTTGGAGGAGAGGAGGGAGGGGAAACTGTGGCTGGGGTGTAAAATTATTTGTATTTATTTAAAAAGAATCCTGCTCGTTAGTTTGGCCAGACTCCTCCATCCTCCATGTCTGATCACCTTCTATCCAAGCAGGTTCCTCACCAGCATCATCCTCCAGGTGATGTCTAAGCTCCACACCTGCCTTGAGCAAGAATCCTGTTAGGTCAGTTTACCTGGAATCTCCCTTGCCTTTGATGTTTTCTCCTGGTAATTTTCTAGCCTCTGAGCTCCACCCTTGACCCTTGGTGACAAATACCTGCTGGTTTTTGTTTTCTATACCTCTGTCATGGCCGTCCTGCATAAAGTCTATCTTGCTGTTTCACATGTTGCATTTAACAACTTTTTCTTTCATAGTTTCACTTCTGGGGGCTCAGTCAACATCTGTGTCCCAGGCAAATGATGAAAAAAGACAAAAGATACTGTAGAAGTTTCTTCAGGAAATCTCCCAAATATGGTCACAGGACATATCCTTTCATGTGTCTTCTGCCAAACTTTAGTTCATAGACACACCTAACTGTACAGAAGCTGGTGAATGTGTCCTTTCTTCTCTGCAGCCCTATGCCCAGAGACAAAGCCCACCACCGTTGAAAATGGGGACACTGGATATTTGGGACAGTTTTAATCCCAGCACTTGGAAGGCAGTGGCATATAAATCTCTTTGGTTTTGAAGATAGCCTGGTCTACATAGTGATTTCCAGACCAGCCAGGACTACACAATGAGGTGTGCCTGTGTGCATGTGTCTGTGTCTCTGTGTGCATGTGTGTGTCTGTGTGTCTGTGTCTGTGTGTTGAATCAGGGATGAAGTCTAACTGTTTAAGAAATGACAATGTAATAATCTGTTAAGAAATTCAGCGCTTGGGGCTCCTACACATGCCCAAGAGGTGGGGAAATGAAGCTACTGTGCAGCCCTGGGCCCTGACCGTCTCTGGTGTAAAGTGACCCCTTATTTATACAAAAGGAGAAGCACACATGGAAAGCAGGAAGCATTGCTGATTTGATATTGCTGAGCCTTGCCCTAATGGTGCAAATGCCATTTGTTTGATATGGCTGAGAAAGTTTTGTGATTCTGGGCTCACTGCCAGGCATCAGCATGTCATTGCTGAAGGTCCACAGATGCCCTTCCAGAAAGAGCCAATTCCCCTTTTAGCTCAGCTGTTTGGTGGCAGGAATGAATGTTCCATGGGCAGTGCTGCTTCATTCTTCTCCGTGGGCAGGAAGGTCAGACAAAGCTCGGGTGTGGTGCAAGCCTCTGAAGGTGGGGTGGACAGCAAGTTGTTCTCCCGCTGGAAAATTTTCATATTAAGTTCACTGGAATCTTTTGTATAAGAAGCCAAGGGCAGGTTTGGCTGGGGTGGTGCTCCAGAGTGGGCCAAGTCATTTCCAAGAGTTGACAAAGAAATGCCATCCCATTGACAAGAACAAACATTTCTCTGTGTGCTCAGGTAAAGCTCACTCTAAGGCTAGATATCAAAGAGGGAAAGCCAGGTACAGAATAAGCAGTATATAGGTATAGTGTGCTGCAATTTTTACATGAGGAAATACGGATGGATATGAATATTTATAAATTCAAAGGTGAGGCCATCTCTAGGGAGAGTCTCAGGAAACTGATAATCACGGTCGCCTTTTCACAGGGAGATTCTGTTACTATGAGATATGAAATTAAACTTGACTTTCATTGGATGTATATCCTTGTGATACATAAAATATCAATACATAATATGAATCAATAAAAATTATAAAATAATGATGATAATGCTATAACACAACTGAAACAAGACTTGGTGGTTACATGTGCACTCAGGAGGTAGATCAAGGAAGATCAGAAGTTCAAGGTCAGTTCATAGGCTACAGGAGACCTTGTCTTGAAAAGAAGGAAAGAAAGTAGGAAGAAAGAAGGAAGGTAGGAAGAGAGGAAGGAAGGAAGGAAGGAAGGAAGGAAGGAAGGAAGGAAGGAAGGAAGGAAGGAAGGAAGGAAGGAGGGGAAGGGAAGAGAGCACAACTTAGGAGTAAAGACTGGAATCCTAGAATCAGTGGCAGGAAGCAAGCAGGACTGAGAAAGGAAGTCTAAGACAGGATTGAGAGCCATGGCTGTGAGATGCAGTAGAACTGGAATCCAGGACAGCAATGTGACATGTGAAAGGTGACAGAAGAGGTGGATGGTTAAGTGAACATCGGAGAGGGGAAGCCATTCTCTCAGGCTGGGTGTTCATGGAGAAGAGGGATGGGACCAGGCTCAAGTCAACTCATTAGCAGCTAAATTTCATCATAACTCACTTAGAAGAGTCCAAAAAAATGTTGTAAAATATGAGGAGTCATGTCCATGGAAGGTCCATGAGATGAAAGATGTCAGACAAGTCTTCATAGCCAAGAGGTTCCCTACCTTGGCTATATTTATTGCTACCAATGACCAAGTCTCTGTGTTTGATCAAACCTGAGTAAGACTCCTCAGTTTCATAAAGAATCTTGCCAAGTTAGTTTAGTAAAAATGGCCCACCTTTTGTATCTGTTCATTCTTGACATCCATCCAAGTTTCTCACCTGACTGTCAGCATCTTAACATGATGCATGCTGTTACTGTGCAGGAACAATGTTGAGTCAGTAACAGAAGATCGAAGTGTGGACAAGAATATGGAGACAGGGAACCATTTGTTCACTGTTGGTGAGAATGTAAATTAGGAGAGCCATTATGGAAAGTAGTACAGATAGAGCTGGAGAAACGTCTCAGTGGTTAAGAGAACTGGCTACTCTTACAGAAGACCTGAGTTCTGCTTGCACTGCCCACATGATGGCTCTTAATTGCCTGTAGCTCCAGTTCTAGGAGATCCAGTGCCCTTCCGCACACACATGGTACATATACATATACTCACACACAAGCATATATATGCACCCAAGATTAATTTCTGGCACACATACAGACATGTACAACCACATACATGTATACCTGCAGTCACACAAACATGCATTCACACTCCTACAGAGACACACATAAATGTAGTGTGTATGTACACAGGCTACTGTTCAGCCTTTCAAAAAAAGTGAAATTTTGTCACTTGTAACCACATGAATGGACTCAGGGGACATTATGTTCAATGAAACAAGCCAGCTACAGAAAAGGGAAATATTGTATGGTCTCACTTACATGTAGAACCTGAACTAATAAAAGTTATAAAAGCAGAGTGTAGTTTTATGGTTGCCCAGGGTTTTAGGGATGAGGAAATGGAGAGGTGATGGCAAAGGATAAAAGTTCAAATTGTGCTAAATAAGTAAGGCTAAAAAGCTATGTGGTACAGTGTCTAGAGCTAACAGCACTGTGTCGAATACTTACATTTTATTTGGAAAGGTGACTCTCACTATAAATATCTCTTACACACGCACAGATAACACTAAAAGTCACAGGAGAAAGCTTCTAGAGGCAGAGGATACGTTTGTAGTCTTGATGGTGGTTTCATGGGTGTATATTTACTTCCAAATTCGTTTGGGTATTCACATTAAACATGTAGTTTGTTTCATACCTGTCATTCATCAATAAAGTGATTTAAGAAAGAATTCTATTGAGTTGACTGACCAAGGATTCCCTTAGCCTCACGCTTCCCCTTGGGAATTGTTCCTCCACTGACCCAACCCTGTTCCTTGGTACTAAGTCCCCACTTGTTTATCTATTCTGCCTCTCTCCTCTACTAAAGCCCTTTCCACTAAAGTCTTTCTTACATCTTAAACAAGAGTTAGGAATAAAACTTATAAGCACCTGCTAGTTGAGGAGCTGCTACAATGTAACACCCATAGGGATGATTCTGGTTTCAGTGGTTAAACTGTTACAGGAAAATAATCACAGAGATCTCTCAGCTGGTTTATATTCAACTGAGACTGGGCTGGGGAACCCTGTGGGAGAAAGCCTGAGAGAGAATTTCACTGCCCAAGCACACCTCTTGACATTCTTCTTCCCCGAGGAAGGTCGGAGCTTTATCCAGCCCCATGTGAAAAGGTAGAAGAGACCCAAAGGAGGAAAGATATGACATATTTTCAGTAGATTTAAATGTGTATTATGTTTAAATTCACATTATACAGGATACAAACTACAGCAAGGCTTAATATCGTTAGACATTAAAGATAACAAGAATGTTGCATACCAAACTAATGAGATAGTTGAAGGCTACATGATAGAAACTTCAAACCGCTGGTATTTTGTCTGTCAGTCTTTATGGCATTTTGTTTGTTTGTTTTTTCTCCGATATAAGATTTTTATTGATTATTTGGGAGTTTCACATAGTGCACCCTGATCACAGTCACTTCCACAATCCTCGCAGGTCCACCTCCCACTCCCCTGTGACCTCCCCCAAAGAAAAGAACAAAAGCGAAAGAAAGGAAAAAGTCCAATCTATGTTGCCCATAGACTCACTGGAGCATGGTCAGTGGCCAGCCTCTTAAAGAAAACTGAGTCCTTCCCTCTCCCCACCCCTGCCAGAAGCCATCAACTATGAAGAGCTACACTTCAGGATCCCTGTAACAATTTTTTTTTTCATTTTTCTTTATTAAGAAATTTTCTACTCACTCCACACACTATCCACAGATACCCCCTCCTCCTTCCTCCCACCCCCAGCCCTCTTTCCCAAGCCACCCCGCATCCCCACATCCCCAAAATCAAGGTCTCCCATGGGGAGTCA